TGGACTGAAAAGATGTTTGACAATTAAAGGCTCATCAAAATTACAAATAGGTTAAATTTTATATTGTAATATATTATATATGAATTGTTTATAACGCGTTCCTCTAATCCAATATTTTTAAGATATTTTTTATCGAATTTGACTCATCATAATTTTGTTTCCTTTTTTGGGATTTGGTTAACTGTGAGTAGTTAGGGCGTTTTGTACTTGAAATGTTGTTATTCATAATTTTTTTAGTACTAGATTTTTTTTTTTTTGTAAGAAATTTAAAATTCTCCCAATAAAGCTCGTGAACAAGTTTGATATTAAGCTCGATAAAAGCTCGATTCGTGTTCAATTCAGAACTTGTGAATAAGCTTGATAAAAACTCAATTAATATTTCATTAAAATTTTGATAAATATACATAATATAAATATTTTATATTTATTATAATGTAATGATATAATTATTATTAAATAGTAAAATATAAAGTAATTAAATATTGTTCATGAATGAGCTCATTTGGTAGCTCGAAAAAACTAGCTATTTATGTTCATGAACTTGCCCATTTGATAGCTCAAGAATACTCATTAGATATTTTTATGAACGTATTTGTTTGATTGATTAAAAAAATTGCTAAATATGTTCACGAAACAATGTTGATGTAATTGTTTGTTATGAGGCTCGATAAAGTTCGTTTGTTAATTTAATGACCATCTAGAAGTAAGCTCATTTATAGCTCGTTAAAACTTGTTTATTTAAAGTTCGATAAGCACTAAACAAATCAAACATGAACCGAACACGAACACATTAATTTAAAAAAAAAATGAACAGAAACAATAAAACTCGAATCAAACACGAACAAAACTTGAACAAAATAATAAATGAACTCAAACATGAACACTCTCATTTGCAACATGTACTTTCTCCTCTACAACTTGCATAACATCCGCACAAACCACGATAACACCCACAAACTTGATTTTTGTTATTATTAATAAGCATATGACCTAGGGCATTGCTTTAATAGAAACAAATTAAATTAATATAATTTATTTATTTTACAACAATTCAAATAATAAAAAATAATCTCCTTAATTTACTTACAATTAATCAAATGAAACAATTTTCAAATGCATTAATTTTTTTTTTTACATTATATTTAGAATGAAACAAAAATTACTCAATTTAAGCCTAATTTAATTGAGCGATAAAATTATTTAATTTATTTTGATATTAGTGTAAAATAAATTATGCATATATCACATTAATTTCAAAATAAATTTAATAACCCGTTAAAATATTCAGATATTATTTTTATTTAGAATATATCTCAATTATAAACATTTGTAATCAAGGACATTCAATTTCTTCGCTATAAAATCAGCAATCAATGCCCCTGCCAATTTTATCGGCAAAAAGAAAAGAAAAAATCATCAATGGAACTCCAAGCCAGCAACCCAGCACCTCTTCCTCCCATGCAATCCCCTTTTTCTCAAAACACTCGTCACCTGTCCTCCGTCTTCATCTGCTTCGTATTCGCCGTCGTCTTCTCCGTTGTCTTGTCCGTCACCATCCGACTCTTCTTACACCGCCAAGCCGGTCTCCGTGCCGGCCTCCATCATGCGCCGCCGCCGCTGCCGCCCGAGAAACCGTGCCCCTTTATCGCCGACAGCCTTCCTTCCGTTGTCTTTTCACCGCAGGCCCAAACCCGTTCAGCTGACTGCGCCATCTGTCTCTCCGACTTCGCAAACGGAGAAATGGTACATTTGCTTCCAGTCTGTAACCACTGTTTCCATATTCACTGTATAGAGGGCTGGATCAGTTCACATGCTTCGTGTCCCACGTGCCGGCGAAGCTATTGGCTACCGGAGCCGTTGCCGATGGAGCCTTGAGCCGATTTTCCCGGCCCGGTCGGCTCCGGCCGGAGATGAGCTTCCGCGAGGAATATTGACGGATTGCTGTCCATTTTTTTTTCTTTTTTCTGTAAAATGAATCTGAATAATGTTGATAATTAGTTAATTACACAGCAAAATATACTTTTATATGAGAAAGAAATATTCCAAATAATAAGATATATCACTATAATTATTTTGTGATGTAATAAATAATATATTTCTTTAAAATTTTAAGTTTATAGGCCCCATAAAACATAAAGCTGTTAATTTATTTTTAAGAAAAATATACCCAAAATTATATTTAGTTCAATATACTTTTATATTTTAACAAATATAGTCAAGATCAACACTAAATAACCCCACAACCCTTTGATAGTAATAGTTGATCAATACTTCTTCCATCTTCCTCTCTATTTTCCAACGATTATATTCTTGAACTTGGATTTTCACGTGTGACAAAAATTCTCAGTGAGACTCTATTTGTATTTGTCTATGAATATTAGTGAAATTTTTTTATTTGTCTTTTAGGGCTAAAAATATGCTTCGTTCATGCTATAAACTTTAAACCCCTCATTCATTAGAATTCAATTTACATGTTGGAGTTATCTTTCAATCACATTTGACATTAGAACAGTGATTAAATTATCATTGAATAATATTTGAACTATGATCAAAATTTATAAATATTTATTTTTTTAAAAGATCAACCTATTTGATAGCCTATATATGTAAAATTTTAAAATGACAATTTAGCAACATTTGAGCTAACTTTAAAGAATTATAGCTTTATTCGAACTTATTCAAAACTTAATTCAAACACTTATTTGAACATATATTAGATTCTTCATTGATCATGTCATATTATCTTGGAATATGGGTTAAAGAATATTCGACTTAGTGTCGGAATAAGATTCAAATAAGGCTATAATGTGTGAAGTTGATTTGAATATTATTTAATTGTGAGTTGAAGAAATTATGAAGGCTCCTAGAATAAGTCAATTATGATGATTCAATTATTGTTGAAGATGGTTCAATCAAAGATTATTCAATAAACATAGCTCACATTGTGTTGTTGGTTGAGAGCTTAGGCTTCCAACTAAGAGGTATTGGGTTCGAGTCTTTGTGTATGCGTTGTGTGTGTGAGTTTGCCTTAAATGTCTAAAAAAAAGATTATTCAATAATTATTGAATATAGTTTGAAGATGATTTTTTTAATGCACAACTTATCATGTCTTAGAAGTCACGATAGCTCAATGACGTCATTCTTTGTCTCCTTCGACAATTCTTTGCCAGTTTGTTTGTTCCAGTCAGTGATGACGCACAACGGGAGCTCGCTTGATGCGATGACCCCATTTCACGCGCTTTTTAAGCCAGTTCTCATAAATCCATCCAATGCAAGTCAAAATTGGGTTAATTTCGGTTTGGTAGGTTGACCCGAATCTGACCCGTTTATTAAACGTGTCAATCATAACCACAAATTTCAAGTCAAAATCTAATCAGTTGGCTGGTCGAGTTAGTTTTTGACACCCTAATAATAATTAGATGATGATGAACTAATAATCAAATACTAAATAAATAATGATTAGTTATTTTTCAAACCATAATCGAACCTTCTTCAAAACATCCTCCATCTATGATTTGAATTTCTTATGTTTTAAAGATTATAAATGTCGAAGATTTAAATAGAAGAATCTCACTTTGAAAGTCCAATCGACAGTATTAATAATTGTTTTGGGCACTTGATTCAGAAGAGGCACGTGTGCTGCGTATGAGGCTGGTTGGTGTATACGTTTTTTATATAATTAAATAATTTGATTTTAGCGCCGAAACTGTTCAACAACTCATTAAAAATGTTATCTTAACACGAAATGAAAAAAAAAAAAAAAACGGCTGAATTTCTCAGGCCATCTTCAATCAAAAAATTTATTTTTTTGCTTCAAAATATAATAATAATCACATCAAACAAATAAGCAATAACTCCTCTTCAACCCTATGTTAGTTCTTAACATAAAAAAATTACAAATATATTCTTTCTCCTTTTTATACATTTTTTAATCATATTTTTACATTTATCAATATTTTTTATTAAAAAAAAAAGCATTTGTAAGCAATGTGATGCCAAGGCGTCATATTGCTCATTTCACAAGAATATCGCCAAAAATTGCATTCGGATGAAGCTAGCAGCTAACGTTTGGTTAGAGATGACTTAAAAGTTCAAGAATTTTTAAATGACGTAGAAAGTTAGATCTTTCTTATTGAACTATGATGACGGGCATTTTGGTCAAGCTAATTGACATCGTTGAATCATTGTTTCCTTCTTGGATGGCTTTCTCTTTATCAGGCAAATGGAGGAATTGTATTTTTGGGCTTCGTTACCCCAACAATAATAATAATAATAAATCTTAAGTGATATGTTGGATGTTTATGATCAGATGATTGTGATCAAATGATTGTAGTAAAATAATGGTAATAGTAGTTGAAGTGTCATGGACGGACGAAATTTGATTAGAAAATTGTGGTCGATTGATGTTTCAAAGGATTGTGGCTGGGTGAAGGTGATTAAAAGACTATGGTCAATGATGATGGTATGAGGATAGTGATGTAGTTGGGGAATGACATTTGATGGCAACGATTGGCTGATGATTTGGTAGCAATTGTCGAACGGAGGTGATTAGAGTATAATTGCCCAATGATGGGAGTTGGAAGGCAATGGTTTGATAACGATGATTAGGTAATATTTTGATAGTGGCGAACATACATTTGTCTAATAGTGGTGGTTTGACTTATTTTATTTAAGTAATAATATAATTATTAGTTAAATAATTTAACTAATAATATAAGTTGATTTAGCTATTAAATAATTTAACTAATAATATAAGTTTTATTTATAATATTACTTATCTTATTTAACTAATAATATAATTTACAAAAATTAATTAACTTAATTATACAATTACTATTATAAATATTAATAAATTAACTAATTATATAAGTGTTATTTTTATTTTGAATATTTATCTAATTATTATTTAGAATATTAATTATCTAATTATTTATTTAATTATTAAATTTATATTTATTAAATTACTTAAATTAATTCCTAATTAATTACGAACGATTTGCTTTCTGTTTCTTCTCTCTTCCGTTCTTCGTTGCTGGACTGTGTGCTTGGCGTGAGATAGGGTTTTGAACGAGTCGCAAAAGCCTTCTTCGCCTCCTTCGACGACGTTCCTTCCTGTCGAATCTGAAGTCGCGAAAGTTTTCCGTTCTTCCTGTTGTACCGACGGGAGCTCGCTCGCTGTGAAGGCAACTATCGTGCTCCCTTTCGCGCGTTTCTTCAGCCAAATCCCGTAAATCCGCCGAACTCCAGGATTTAGTAAATCTGGGATTTACGGAAAAAAGAGGGAAACGGAGGATCTAATTCGCTGTGAGATTTGACGGTTCCCTAAATCCTTTTTGGCAGGATATAGCATAAATTCTGCTCAAATCCTGCATAAATCCTGCATCCAAACAGCCCCTAAGCGAGGAAGTAGCATTAGCTCGCTGGCGAAGGCAAGTTAACCGAAACCTCGTTTTTCTACCCTTTCATGAGGAAGTTGTGACTGAAGCTCGCTTAGAAGGCAAAACCCGTGCGTTTTTGCACGGCAAAACCTGCGTAAACCGGCTACCAATCTGCCGCATAGAGTATATTATGGTGCAGTTTAAGAATAGATATTTGGTGATTGAGGTTTTAATAAATGGTGGCAAGGATTCTTCTGGGAATGATCCGATTATTATTACAGAGTATAATTTGTTGAAAGCGATCAAAGATAGCATTCTGTTGAACTTTGGGGAATGCGGCCTTGCTCTGTCGCTCGGATCGTTGCAAGGTATGGTTTACTTCTTTTTAAATGATCAAGGTTTAATCTGTATTTAGTTCACTTGAGGCGGTATTATGTTCGCATACTAATTTATCTTTTCTTTTTTCTGTTGTATATGAAGTCAAATACGTCAACCCTTCCACAAAGCTGTGTATTATGAGAACCTCTCGTGATGATTATCAGAAGATATGGTCTGCAATGACAATGGTGAAAAGTATAGGGAAGTGTCCAGTAACTTTCAATTTACTAGCTTTGAGTGGTAAGTATTCTATCAATAAGACCAGCTTTTGGACATGGTCATCACGGAATGTTGATTTCAACCTAACTTGGAGATTGGTTAACCTGACTTAGATTCCTTGTGATAAATGATCTTGCTCAAAATTATTCTATTGTTCTGTGGAATTTGTGCTGCATTTTGAATTATAATTCGGCCATTGTTTTCTCTTATATTATTTTCATGCCATGAACTACTTATATATAAAATAATCATTTTTTTGTTTCTATTGCACATTTTTAAGGTTAATGACATTGCATCCAAATACATGACAAAATAGTGCTTGGACAATTTTACAACCTATGAACAAATGCACATATTTGATGGATATAAAATGCTTATTTTGTTGGAACTGAATTTTTACATGCCAGATAAATTTGATTGAACTCTAAAAGTGCACTGTAATAGGAAGAACAAAAAGAGAACTTTAATAGGAGTGAGATTAGTTTGCGTTGTAGTATTTTAGTTCACATTGTATTTTCTTTTCTGTCTTCATTAAAATATGTCTATGATATTGATCTCATTGAGAGTGAGTTATGTTCTTCAGGATTTTGATTTCCTCTTTACGTTTGGTTTACTACTATAAGGGTTCGATTCAATCAACATCCTGAATTGCTAATGTTTTTCACTTTTCTGGGTTTCCATAGAGTCCTTCCCTTCCTATTTTTTCTTTGGAAAAGATGACGGCCATGCCCATCTAATGATAGTTAATCTTACAAGATTACAACTAAATTCCTATTGTGTTTCTTTCTTAGTTCTTATGTGTAATTTCATATGCCGAATCTTTTTAAGTGCTTGTAAGTTATGATGGCTACTTTTGCTGGATGAATTTCTTTGTAGAAGTTTGGATCTTCCACTTGATGATTTTCATCCTTGTTCTTTCTATTAACTTATTTTGTGATTGATATGTGCTCATAATTGATATTTTGGCAAATTTAAAACGTGTCTATTCCTGTTTATGCTATGAATGCTATTCATTGTAGAAGTTTATAAATGGTATTAGTTTTGGAGGCTTTCATTTTATTATTATTTGAGGTTTTTAAAAATGGATCCTACCTAGCTTTTACAGAACTTGTCTATCTCTCTCCCCTACGATTATGAGCGAATTAGTGCACTTAATGTATAGTTGATACTCATTTATATAAGGCTTGTTTATGTTCTTTTATTTACATAATTGAATAAGCTCGTATAGATTTTAAAGGCTTATTATATAAATGGACAAATTTGAATATTAATTTACTTGTTTATTTATTTTCTTGAACATATTTGTTTATTATTTAATAAATAATTTGTTAAGAACTCATTAGAATGTTTATTTAATGTTGTCTCAATTATTTACTTGATTACTTATTTTATATTATTGCATTATTTTTTAAATATTTTATGCATTTTAAAATTTATTTATATTATTAGAGATATTAATAAGATGAAAATTTCAAGCAAATGGTTAGATATATAGGTTAAAATTTTTTCTTATTAATATTTGAACATTCTCAAATAATTTAAATAATACGGAGTGTATTATGTTAAGTTCCATTAAAATCCATGAAACCATTTATGTAAAATATTAAGGCTATATATTTATATCATCAACATTAAACATATAATTAGCTAGACTTGATTAAATCTCAATTATGGCTTGAATTCAATAAGAAAATTAATAAATAAGTTTTTGATTGGAAAATAAATGAATGATTTGAAATCAGTTAGTACTAGACTCTACTTGTATGGTTAAATCCTCTAAATTCTCCCCCTCTCCCCCTTTTCACTTTCTTTTTATTATCATATTCTGCCTAAGCCTCATCTGCTGTAAGAGCTAGGCTTCATTTGGTACGACTTTTTATTTTTTATAATAGAAAGCTGTTTTAAGAAGCATTAAAAAAGCTGTCCCAGCTTTATTTGCTTCTTAAAGCAGTTTTTTAATATAAAAATTAATTTTTATATCAGAAAGTTGTTTTAAGAAGCAACAAGAAAGTAGTCTCAAATAAAGCCTTATTAGTTTGTGTATGGTAGCCTAATTTTTTTCATCTTTGCAGCCACATGGCATCCATTTGTATTTTTACCCATTGCAAAAGTTGCCTGGATGCTTATGATTTATTCTTCTTTTAGGTACCATGAAAGCTTGTAAGAGTGCTGCCTTAAAGTGCGAAGAGGCAAAATTTGAACAATACAAGCTTGAAGCTCAGAATCATCTCACGCCAGAGAGATTATCACAGATTAGAGGCTATATAGAAAAAATAAAAACTTTAGAGAATTAAATGATGGCTGAGTTCATTTTAGGTAAAATAGCTTGTTTGCTTCTTTAGCCTGTCACTTTTTTTTTTTCTCGTAGAAAAAGGATTCATGTAGTCGACTTCAAATAGTAGAGTAAAGGCTCGATGTTGTTGTGTAATCTCTTTTCTTTTTCCATTTCTTTGATGATTTTGTGTGTTATTTCTAATGGAGCAGTTGCGCTCATTTCTTTTGCTAATGAAAAATGTTCGCTTTAATGTCGTTCACTTGCTGCTATAAAATAATCTGGTTAGCTTCAAGCTTCTGATTATTTGCTTGAATGATTTTTATTTCTTTGGGCAATTGTTCTTTTTCTTTTGCATTGGATATTATGATATTGGGGCAGTACTAGTAAATCAGAAACCATTGCTCTTGAAAGTCTTTAAATTGCGTATGTGCTTGAATTGAAGTTCGTTTTAACTCAAGGTGAGAATCATGTAGGATATCTTAGGATTTATATTCTTTTAATACAGATTTTTAATAGATTTTTGTGGTTTGGGAGAATAGAGTTAGGATTTTTGTTATCAACTTATTTGTCATTATAAATTAATAAATTCTACATATTTAAGTTTTATGATAAAAATTTTAGCCATTAGATCTTCTACCAACAGTGCTTAATATTGTATCATTTAGGTTTTTTTTTTTGGAATTATTTTATTACTATTTTATAAGACAGTTTTTTTAGTATAAAATTAAAATTTTTATATTAAAAATCTGTCTTAAGAAGCAGTTGGAAAGTCGTCCCACATAAAATCTTAAACTAATCTAGTTCTGTGGTTCACTGATTCTTCACTCGAACAAGCAATCCAAAGCCAGTTTTAATCAGTTTGACGTAACATTAATTTTTAAAGCTATCGATCAAATTAATCGATGCACAATAGAACTAATTGAACAAATAGTTCAGATCCGATTTTGTAAATGTTGGTGATAATAGTAATAAAGTCTTTTAAATTATTTTATAATTCATAAGGAAAAAAGCAAATTGATAGAAAAGAAAAAGAACAATTGATGGAAATTTATAAACATACCACTTTATAACATCCTATTTATATATCTAACATCTAAAATATTAATATTATATGCATATCATCCTATATTATTTTAATATCAAATATACCACTAATATTTCTTTCCTACCACTCATGTATTTCATTTATACCACTTATATTTGATATGAAAATGAACTATGGGTGGTATATATGTAATATTAAAATTTTAAATGTTAAATATGTAAATAGAGTAGTATACGATGGTATGGATGTAAATCTCTCAAAAATGGGAAATTTAATATACTAAATTTTAATGTAAATTACAAGTGAGTAAATGTATATTTCCCTAATACAAAAATCCTCAATAAGTTCGACTCGAATGTTCGCTCTCGGCTAGTTCATTGTCTCCAATGCCCGCACAGCGGCTTGCCACTTCCTCCTCGTGATCTCGCTTGGTGCGGCTCTACGGAGCAAGAACGCCGGCCTCTCTCCCGGCCGCCGACATGGACGCTACCGGCAACTCTTCTTCGTTGTCGACCTACTTAAATCTTGAGGAGGACGACGAGCACGACACCAAGGAGAGGGTTCTACTCCGCTATTTCCTCCAGGAATGGGCGCTTGTCAAGACCATCCTTGACCGGATCGTTGCTAATGATGGCGCCACCATTCCCTCAGACGTCAACAAGATCCGCTTCGTAGTACGTCTTCCGCTTCTCGAAACTCTACGTCTTCTGACTTTAGTTGCAATATTCGTTTATTTAGTCGCGGTTATCTCCATTAAAATAGATCGAGTTTTTAGAATAATTACATTGGAGTTCTGTAATCGGAAACAGTGGAATAATGTTGCCTTGATAGGGAATTGTTGAATAATCCATTATTCTAAAACCAGCTTCTGGAATTTGCTAGGAAAAAAAAAGAACTGTTAATAACGAGACGAGTAAAAAAGAAGCAGAGATAATATAAATGACGGAATCGATCGTTATTCATTTGATAGTATATGACATATAATATGCCTATCTATAATCATGAAAGGAGCATAAAAAAGGAGTACTGATTATACTAAATATTCTCCAAATCACAATAATGAATCTTTGCTATTCAAGGGTTTGCACATTTGGTGAAATGTATTCAATAATGCACCCCCCTAAACTCATGTAGAGACAGAAGATGTCAACTTGAGTTTATTGTAGTGTTCATGAAATCGCCCAAGGGTATGAGAATTATTGTTCATGAAATCAACAGTTTGGCCATGAGTACCAATAAATTGAAGAAGAAGGTTAGAATGTGTAAGCTCTCAATCAATAATGTGAAAATCAGTGTCAATGTGCTTGATTTGTTCAAAATAAACATCATTTTGAGCAATAACAACCACACTGCAATTATGGTAATTAATAAGAAAGGGACCACATGAGTTATGCGCATATCAATGAAGGGACATCAAATTCAAAGTAACCCCCCAACTGTTTTTTAGGAGCACGATATTTGACTAGAACAATGAACCTTTGTTTGTTTCTTACTTTGCCAAGAAATGAGGAGTCCAAGAAGAAGCAAAAACTAATGACAAATTTATGATTTGTCAACATAGGATATGCAACATGTATGGGCGATGATGAGGCGTCGTAGTGAAGTCCATAGTGAAGGGTACCACATGCATAACAAATAATACGAAGACCAACATAGTGGGAAGAGCTAGGTGTTGCAAGGAACTAATTGGCCCAGTGTATTGCATAGGAAATATCAGGACGAGTGATAGTAAAATAAACTAACCCCCTAACCAATTTATGATATAGAGTAGGATCTATCAATCATGTTTTGTTAATAGAGTGAGATAACAGTAATGTTCCAAATGTGTGAAGGCAACTTTTAAGGCATTGAGGCTAGCATGATTGAGAAGATCAGAGGTTTACTTTGATTGTAAAAAATAAACTATAGAATTTCAAGTGATCTCTAAACCAAGTAGAGTAGATGTCATAGTTCTTTCTTCTCAAAGTAGTGTTGAAAGTTTAAAAAATCATCATTGCTAGTGATGACAATGCAGTTATCTTTACGACAAACAAAAAAGATTGTATCATGAAGACTGGAGCAGCAGCCAAGATATTTTGGTGTTGCTAAACTTTTTAATTCATGGGATTCTTTTTCAGGCGACAGAGAACTCTTCAAACTCAACCAACTTTGTTAGAGGGAATATCAAGACCAAGTGATGGATGCATATGTATATCATTTTCTAAATCATCATGGATGAAGACATTTTTGATATCCATTTAAAAAAGTTGCCAGTTTGGCAGTGATAGAGAGCAACAACATCAATGAGAGATCACATAGATTTACGATGAGCAACATTATTAAAAAGTTTCTTTGAAGTCAACACCATACTCCTGCAAAAAGCCTTTGGAAACAAGACATTCTTTTATGTCGTTTAGGAGATCCATGAGAGCAAGTCTTAATTTTATAGATCCATTTGAACACCATAATTCATTTTCTTAATTTTATTGTCTTAATTTATGTTATTCAAGAGATCCATGGAGCAATGATATTGGAGTGTCTCACGATTTGGTTTGATTCCTTAAACATTGTTGTTTCATCATACATATCAATGCTCTTCAATCACTAATGGTGGCATTTTGTGCATTATGTACCTTTTCTTAAACAGCGGTGAGTTAAACCCACCTTTTAAGGCCTTTCACCGTTGACTTTGGACTATACAAAAGTTATTGATGATTAAATTGATTTCATACTTATTACTACATGATCTTTGTTGAAAAGTTAAATTTTGAACCCTAGGCAGTGGTTAAATGAAGATGCACTTGTCTGTTGAACTTAGGCCTTCTCCAATCGAATGTCAAACATGCGCGCTCCAGCCGAATACCAAAGTTTCTGCTATTTGCTTGCGGGTGAACAATGCGACGCCAAATATTGGCGTCGCACTGCTCACCCGCTATATTTTTTTTAATATAAATATGATTTAAAATATATAAAATAAAGTATGAAAAAGAATATACTAGGAATATTCTTTTTTGGTGTTAGTAAATGGAGTTCAATTGGAGAAGAGTTTCTGCATTTTGATGTATTACTGCATTTTGGAATGAAAATTGAGTTTCGGTTGGAGATGCGCTTACTACCTAGACATTGATTTACTGAATATTGAGGATAGGTGTGGGCATGGTTTCTCATGATTTAAGGGGCAAGCTTTTAGAAAATTAGGCTATTTTGGATGGTAGTTGCGTTACTAAATAGGATATATTTATTTATTAACGTGCGACTAGCGTGAATATACAGTTTTAAACTTAAGAATTGCATGTAGATGCCTATATGGGGGAACCAATATAACAGGTTACCTTTCACTAATTGATTTCCATATGCAATCTTACCGTTCCCTTATGCATTCATTGGAGTGCTTTTGGTTTAATGACTTGTTCTCTATGAGTGAATGCTCAATATCTCAAGATACCCAACATTATTTATCTTATACTATTTATGAAGTTCTTCTCATGGGGATTTTTTCTAATAACTTAAAATGATTTGTGTTTAAGTTCAGAATGATGCACTATTTCTGTGGCTAAATTACCAGCCATCCTGTTGATGAATGCCACATCTCATTGTATTGCATAAGCTCCTTATGGGATGCGCCCATCATTACAATTATGGTGGGACGTGCTGATGCTTTGTAGCAGTGAGATAATTAGGAAACCTTACGCCAATTTTTTGCAGTTTGTAGCGAAGAGGGTCAAAATGGGAGTAACGAGTATTAAGGAAATATATGAGCAACAAATAGTAGAATGGGGGGGATGACATGCGGATAGAGCTCTCAAAATATCTGCCAGCACAAAATTTCATAGGACTTGTCTGCGGCTTTCTAAATTTGTCTAAAACATATGGTCTCAGATTTTAGTTTCATATCATTATCTATTTAGATCCTTTTGTAATCTATTTTATCTTTTTTGTATTGAGTTATAGTAAGTTGTGGCACATAAGAATATTTTTCCCACTCAAAAGATCCAACTCTACACCTTAATGGAGCAAATTTATGAAGCCATGCCTCCTAAACACAGACAGATGGCATTAAAAAGTTTTATTGTAATGAAAAATAATTGTCATCATAACCGTCGTCATCATTAACCTTATCTTATATATTTAGGCTGGATTTACAAATTCTGAATTTATATTTATTTCTATCGAGTGTTATTGTTGACCTCCGTATATATGCCACAATCAATGCAAGTGAGTGCGACGAG